GTTAACCAAGGAAGTGAAAGACCTGTATATTAAGAACTTTGAGTCTTTAAAGAAAGAAATCAAAGAGGATACCAGAAAATGGAAAGATCTCCCATGCTCTTGGATTAGTAGGATCAACATAATAAAAATGGCAATCTTGCCAAAAGCAGTCTACAGATTCAGTGCAATTCCTATCAAAATCCTGGCATAATTCTTCACAGACCTGGAAAGAACATTAATCAACTTTATATGGAAAAACAAAAGGCCCAGGATAGCCAAAACAACCCTATACAATAAAGGAACTTCAGGAGGCAACACCATACCTGACTTCAAGCTCTCTTTTAGAGCTATAGTCCTGAAAACAGCTTGGAATTGGCACAAAAATAGGCAGGTTGACCAATAGAACCGAATTGAAAACCCTGATTTTAACCCACACACCTATGAACACTTGATTTTTGACAAAGAAGCTAAAACTATACAGTGGAAAAAAGAAAGCATCTTCAACAAATGGTGCTGGCATAACTGGGTACTGGCATGCAGAAGACTGCAGATAGATCCATGTTTATCACCTTGTACAAAACTTAAGTTCAAATGGATCAAAAATCCAGCCACACTGAAACTTTTATAAGAGAAAGTGGGAGATACTCTTCAACGAGTTGGTACAAGAGATCACTTCCTGAACATAACACCAGTGGCACAGACACTGAGATCGACAATTAACAAGTGGGACCTCCTGAAACTAAAAAGCTTCTGTAAGGCAAAGGATACAGTCAACAAGACAAAAAGGCAGTCCACAGAATGGGAAAAGATATTCACTAACCCCACATCTTACAGAGGGCTAATCTCCAAAATATACAAAGAACTCAAGAAGCAAGTCTCCAAAACACCAAAGGATTCAATTAAAAGGTGGGGTACAGAACTAAACAGAGAATTCTCAATAGAGGAGGCTAAAATGGCCAAGAGACACTTAATAAAGTGCTCAACAGGGAAATGCAAATCAAAACAACTTTGAGATACCATCTTACTCCTGTCAGAATGGCTAAAATCAAAAACACCGAAGACGATTTATGCTGGAGAGGATGTGGAGAGAGGGGAACCCTACTCCACTGCTGGTGGGAGTGCCAACTCGTACAGCCACTTTGGAAATCAGTATGGAGTTTCCTCAGAAAAATGGGAATAAACCTACCAGAAGACCCAGCAACTCCACTCTTAGGGATATATCCAAAATTGGCAAATTCATACAACAAGGACATCTGCTCCACTATGTTCATAGCAGCATTATTTGTAATAGTCAGAACTTGGAAGCAACCTAGATGCCCCTCAACCAAAGAGTGGATAGAGAAAATGTGGTACTAATGGAGTACTATTCAGCAGAAAAAAAGTAATGGAATCCTGAGATTCGCAGGCAAATGGATGACACTAGAAGAAACCATCCTGAGTGAGGTAACCCAGTCACAAAAAGAGAAACATGGCATGCACTCTCTCATATATGGATTTTATATGGATCTAGGGAGTGTCAGCCTACAATCCCATGACCAGAGAATCTGGGAAACAGAACCTTCATTCAATGGCTGCTGGAAGCAGAGGCAGACTCCCACAGCTAAACACTGAGCTGAAATCAAGGAATCCAGTGACAGAGAGGGAGGATTGATGAGCAAAGGGGTTAAGACTGGGTTGGTTTAACCCCCAGAAACAGCTGACCTGACAAGGGTTAGCTCTTGAATCCCAGACTGATGGCTGGGATTCCAGCGTGGGACTGATCAAGACCCTCTGAAAGTGGGTGTCATTGAGGAGGCCTAGGTAATCTATTGGGCCTTGGGGAGTAGATCAGTATTCATCCCGGTTATACAAAGGGATTTTGGGCACCCATCCAATAATGAGAGATGCACTCTCACCCTGGACTCCCAGGGGAGGGTCTAGGCCCTGCCCTGGATGAAATGACAGACTATGGACACCCCCATGGAGGACCTCACCCTCCCTGGGGAAATGAAGGGATATTGGAGATATTGGTGGGAGGGCGTGGGAGGAGGGGAGGGAAAGAGAGAGGGACCTGGAATTGACATGTGAAGCAACCTTGTTTCTAACTTAAATTTAAATTTAAAAATAAAAATTAAAAAAAGAGTGATCAGTATGGGAAGATGATTCCGCAGAAGCATTGATGTGTGCAGGCTGTGTACATCCTCACTGCCTTAGGACCTCATTCAGACCACCCCATAGGCAGGCAGAGCAGGCCTCCTCATGTAGACAGGTTATTGTGTGGATTCCTACAATGGGGTATTGTTTGAGCCCCTCATATTGAGAACAGTACTCAGATTCCCCACATTGGGAATGTAATACTGGGCTCCCCACACTGGAATGTTATTTGTGATCCACACATTGGGGCACTATTTTGGTGCCTTACATTGGAATACTCTTTGAGTTCCCCATGCTGGGGTTACATGGGAAACCTTTACTGTGGAAGATGCTTACATCAGTTACAACAGTAACATCTTCTGGTCCTAAAATCCCCAAATGCTCCAAACATTGTGAAATATAACCTAGGGGTTAGGAAGGATGCTTGTCTTGATGAGGAGAAAGTCGGCTGCTGACTTATGTCTCTCTTGTACTGTCAGGGACATGTTCATTGCTACATTGGCTCCAGGACCCATATATGTCCTGCCTGCCTGTCCATTGGTCTAGGGAGGTGACCTCCAGGGGAAAAAAATGTCTTATCTGCAACAATCGGCACAAAACATAGAGAAATAACTACTTTCATTCAGGGTCAGAAAATAACAAAGTTTAAAAAGTGAACAGTAAAAATGTGGTATACACACACACACAGATATAACAGCAAAATGGTCATGCAGATAATAAATAACACTGGGGTGCCCAGCCCTGGTTATTACAACTACAACACGACCTCTCTCCCTCTCTATATATTCATATATAATATATGCATATATTGTATGTGTGTATATAAATGCATATGTGTATATACATATATGAGAACATTTTTAACATGACTTAACATGTACTAAACTTGTTGTTTGATAGCTCCATGCATGTAGAAATGTAGAAAGTGCACTCTGATTGCCTTCACCCCAAACATGTCTTACCTGTCAATCCCCTCTCCCCTTTACAAGTTCTTGTCCTGCATCCATGTCTTTATGGTTTGGAACCTACCAGTCCTCCTGTGTGACCATGTGTTTAGATCTCTTCATTAGAGCCTGGCAGGCTCATCAGTGGGTTCACAATGGAAAGCATTGACTTCCTCTACCCCAGAATCCTTCAGTAGCCAATAGTTCAATGGGGAGGGGGCTGACTCTATGTAACCCTCCTGGCAATGACTGATGGTTGACAGGCCTAATATTATACAAGCTCCATGTAAGTGGCAGTGGTTGATGGGAGATCATTATTTAAAGGCTGTGTCATGCCCTGAAGATAGCATTTCATAGTCCTTTATAGGACAACATTCTAGATGGATGAAAGAAAAAGAACTGGGAAAGCACATATAGATGACACAGAACATGAATCCTTTTTGGGTTGAACAGATGCTTGAGAATTGGAAGATAATTTCAGAAAAATTTGGTCTTATTTTTTGTTCTTACTGCAGCGGATTAAATTTTAGTAATATTCTTCCCCAAATGCCCATCCCAAGCAACTTGCAAACTACTCTACCAGCATACCAAATGCAGTGAAAAGAATACCACTCACCAAGTATTACAACAAAACTCTTGAGGAAGGTTCCTGTTGGTTACCTGCTCATCTATGAACCAATCAAAGTTGATGAGTGCTGTCAGACCAATCAGCCAGTCCTTGGCTGCATGCCCACTCCAGGTAATTGAGTTAGAGTCCCTCAAACAAACAGACGGTGTGTGCTGGAAGAAGAAGACAAAGAAGGTAGGTATGGACAATGGTGACTAGGTAAATAAAAATAAATTTGGTTGAAATTGATTTTATGAAGAAAAACTAGCAAGTGATTTCTGCATAAAAATCTATGGTATTGGTTTTTAATTTCCAGATAAAAGTGGGTTCTTAAAAGCAAATCCAAGAAGTAAAATTATAAAACAGAAATGATAAACTTACAAATGAGCAAGAATAAGGAAATTACTCTTTCCCAATGGCCCTAGATTATATTAATAGAAGATATTAAAATATTAAGAGGCATGTGTTGATACTGTCTTTAACTCCGTACACATTTTTATTTATTATGATTTTCTGTATATTATACAAGAAGATATGAATGCTTTCTCAATTCCACATACCACAAATATCAGTGATGCCTGAACTCTGGTTACTGATCTTTAAAGGAATCCATAATGGAGTCAGAAGAGGGATGACAAGTGCAATTGAAATAGCTTTGTTGTTGTATAATTACTTATAAGGTTTACTCAAAGAACTAATTGAAAATTTGCTTCATTTTGAAATGATTGTGTCAGTATATTTAGGAAATGCTCACAGTTTGTCTTTCAGAATTGATTTCATGATTCAAAGAACAAGTGAATTTTTTTCATAGTAAACTTTTAGTTTTCTGTGCTATGTAGACTTTAAAAATATGTCTTGAATGTACGTAATTTTTTTCTTTGTTTTTTGAGACAGGGTTTCTCTGTATTGCTTTGGAGCCTGTTCTAGAACTCCATCTGTAGACCAGAGCTGGCTTCGAACTCACAGAGATCTGCTTGCCTCTGCCTCCTGAGTGCTGGGATTAAAGGCGTGAGCCACCAATGCCCGGCTTGAATGTGCATAATTTTACATGAGGAATATAGACAAAAATATTTCCTTAAGAGAAAAAGAATTATGACATGCAGGAACATTGGCCTCACCTCTTTAAATGATGCCCTTATGGTCCTTGTCACAGATAATTTTTCAGTAGCTACCCAAAGGTATATCTGAAACCGTGAAGTTGAATGATTGTAGCCCTCAAGGATCATGCTGTTTCTAAGGTGCAAATCGTGAATACGTGTGTGTCATAGGACAACGCTGAAGGAAGTGACAAGGTGATGACCATATCCACTGATCACCACATTTCCATTCTTTTGAAGGACAAGCTACTAGTGTGGAAAAAGACCAGAAGGAAGGCTGCAGTGTGGTGGAAGCCATCTTTAAAGTTATGTACCATTGCCACTTGTCTCCACAAGCATTTGGAGATGTCTTCATGAGCTACATGGAGGAGGAGCAGCTCTTGGACTTTTTGTACACCATTCCAGGTATGAGAGGCTTGGCACGTATAAGATAAATGCTTTATTGATACTTATGTTGTCTTTAGTGTGTTTTCAAAGTTTGATAGATACCAGTTTTTCTGACTCTTGTTTGTAAAAGTTTCCATGCATCTTTTTATTATAAAGGATTCTGTTTAGAACCATTAACCACTTACCTCCTGTCAAATGTAATGTAGTGAGGTAAGGCAGAAAGAAGAGAGAGGTGAAGGAAAAATTATTGAATGAAGGTTCTCTTTCCTAACTTTAAGAAAGTATCCTATAATAATCCTTAAGTTTGTATTTGGTGTACATTGCGTTTTGCTTTTTAGCGTGTTAGATCTTAATAAGATGCACAAGTATCTGGAGAAAACTGAGTTTTCCTTTGCCAGTAGTTACCAGTTGGAGATAGCTTCTGGGTTAGGGATGGGAGATCACGTCCACGTCCCACTGTTAGCACTGTGTCCCCAACTGGCTTGTAAGGGTGCAGACACTGTGCACGGTGCCACTGTGTCTGTAAGTTCACACATGTATCAGTCCTGTTGTGTCAGGAAGGCATTGTTCCCTTGGTGTCATCCATCCCCACTGGCTCTTAGAATCTTTTCCTGAGCACAAGGGGAGGAGTTTAATGAAGACTTACTATTTAGGACTGGGTGTTTCAAGGTTTGTCACTAAGTACATTTGCTGCTTGTGGGTCTTTGTATTTGTTCCCTTATACTGAAGGTAGAAACTGCTCTAATGATGACTGAGCAAGGCACTGCTCTATGAGTGTAGCAGAGTGTCATTATATTACTACGCTGCTTTAGCTGAACAACAGTTTCTGGTCCCGTGGCCTATCCTGCCCCAGGTTTATGGCTACCTGACCATTGCCAGGTGTGGATTCCATCTCATAGAGTGAGCCTGTAATTGTAGGTCATTTTCTTGATTATTGATGGATGTAGGGGGCCCAGTCCACAGTGAACACTGCCATTCAGGGCAGGAGGTCCTGCGTTGAGTGAGAGAGCAGGCTGAGCAAGATGAGGAAGAAGGCAGTAGGCATGTTCTCCCAGTCTCTGCTTCAGCGCTAGCCTGGACCCCTAGCACGCTTGAGTAGCTGTCGTGACTCTCTCGGGTCCTGATAGTACCTGACAGCGTGAAGGAGACAAACACTTTCTTCCCCAGGCTGCTTTTGGCCCTGGTGTTTTATCACAGCAATAGAAAGCGAACTAGGAAATTAATAAACAAAACTACCGGTCATTTTTTTTTTTTTGGTTTTACAAGACAAGGTTTCTCTCTATTGTTTTGGAGGCTGTCTGTCCAGCCTGGCCTGGAACTCACAGAGATCTGCCTGCGTCTGCCTCCTGAGTGCTGGGATTAAAGGCGTGCGCCACCACCGCCCGGCTCTACCGGTCATTTTGATTTAGAAATGGTCGTTTATTATTATGAAAATAATGCTTCCCTCTTCAACATTACCGTGCCTTCTCATTCCTTTGTTACAAGTACAATTTTTTTTTGGAAATTACTACTGTGTGTGTGCTTGTATGTGCTTATGTGCATGCATAATTGCCACACTGTGTGCGTGTGTGTGTGTGTGTGTGTGTGTGTATACATGAATATATGCCACAGTGTGGGGGTGCTGTGTGTACTTATGTGTGTGTACACACATTTATACCAGCGTGTGCATGTGTGTGTGCATATGTACATGCATATATGCCACAGTGTGTAGGTGTGTATGTGTGTGTGCATATGTGCCACTGAGTGTGTTTGAGTATGCATCTATGCCACAGCATTGTGTGTGTGCATGCGTGTGCATGCATGCATGTGTGCGTGCGTGTTTGTGCGTGTGTGTTTGCGTGTGTGCGTGCCCATGTGTGTTGGTCAGGGAAAGTCGTTTGAGGGTTGATTTTCTCCTTCCCCTAGTTGTAAGACAAGCTCTCCTCTGTTTTCTGCTGCACTGTCACACACTGCAGCCTGCTTGCTCCTCAAGCTTCCAGATAATTCTTCCATGTCTCTGTCTCTCACCTTACATATAAATGCTGGAATTCCAGACATGTGCTTTGTGTTCTGGTTTTATGTGGGTTCTGAGGATTGAAGAAACAAATTCTTGGCTGTCAGGCTTCTGTGGTTAGCATTTTCACCCAGGAATGACAATAATATGCTTTCCCACTTGTGTCCAGCAAAGAGGAATGGTAAAGTCAGGATGCTGAGCATCTGAGAGGCTTATGCAGGGCCCACCTGTAGGCCAGGTAAATTTCACACATTGCTTCATCTACAATGGAAGTGCTCATTTAATGTCTTGGAGAGAATGTGGTGGGAGCTTAGAGGCTACTGTCATTATTGTTTCCTTCCATTGCTCTTCGACACCGACTGTGTCTCTCTTTCAGCCTGAGTGATTTCTTGTGCACATCTTTGGTATCAGTGAGTGTCACTATTTCCTGGGCTCTGTGGGGAAGATCTTACCAGTTAAGAGTCGTGGTGTTCCTGGGCTTCCTGATTGTTCCACGTATGACTTTTATCTCACTGGACTATCTGAAGTTATTACTTTTAATATTCTCTGGTCGTTATCCTTAAGACACTGCTCTAGATGATTTTGTATAATGGTTTCAAAACACAGAATCTATTGTGTGAAGATTATGTGACAATTATCCCTTTTAAATTTTTGGCTCTTAGGTTTTTTGGTTTTTGTGGGTTTTTTTTTTTTTTGCATTCTTTTACTGCTTTCCCCAAAGGAGAGGGATATTTCTTAGTACAAAACTAACCTAGGACTGCTTTACTTTGGATTTGGTTGTTAAGGAGCAGAAGTTAAACAACCCTTAAAACCCACCATCCCCTGGTGTTTTACCTCCTTTTGAATTCTCTCAAAAGATTATAATCAGTTAGCCTCATACTTCAAACACTATTCACTCTTCAAGTGCTGAATTCTTAAAGCGTTGTCCATGACACGGAACTGTACTACCACAGAGAGATGAGGCCTTCATCCCTGTCCTCTTCACACACGTTTGTGGAGGTCACAGGGGTTTGTGACTTTGCCTTTTCTCTCCCAAATTGTTCAGAAAGCTTTCTGTGATTCCTTTGCTGATCTTGGTTATTTATGACATGCTGAAAAGATGATATCTAAGTTCGTGACAAAGTGAGCTTGTTCTATGACTCCTGTTCAGCTTGAAAATATAGTGCTGAACAGGAGTAATGTATCCATTTCTTCAGGATACGGCTCTTCAGAGACTGACTAAGCCCCAGTAACTGGTCTCACATCCACGTAAATACAGACATCACTAAGTGGACCCAATGAGTTGTATTAAAAACAAAAGTTGGCTGAGAAAAGTGGTGGCGGAAAGGATGGGGGAGAATTAAAGGGAGGAGAATGGGGACAATGGATTTGATGACAATATGCATGTATGAAATCCTCAAATAACAAAAAAAAAGGAAATACAGTTGAAGCATAACAGGGTTGTACTTTTATACAAATATAATTTACCTACCTACATCAACTTACTAGTACACCATTTTAGAATTTCACTTTTTCCCTTCTGATAAGGCTGGGAAGGATTCCAGCCTAGCTCACCAGACAGATCAGAGTCTTGCAGAATGACAAAGGGAGAGGAGTGCTGCTTCCCAGTGCTGAGTAAACCCGTGAAGAAGACACTCAGAGAGCCCAGGGCTACCTCAGTAAGATGGACAGATTCAAAGCAAAATAACAAACAAATAACAAAAACAGATCTCCTGACTGATAGGCCAGCGTCTCTGTATAATTGTTTCTGTTAAAGTTTAACATTTGTTATTGCACACATGAATTTGAAGATGAAATATAAGATCTATTTTATAATCAGAAACTTAACATCTAATTCCTTAGAAAGAACATGAGCTAGGGAGGGAAACCAAGAATGACAATCTTGAGGCCTGGGTGGGCACAAGGAGGACAGTCACAGATCTGCCCCAAGCCTCTTGGCCTGGGCTGGCAGAGAGCAACCACAAGTGTAGGCTCCAGGTGGTCGGGGACCATTGTGGTCTGCAAGTACTTGGTGGGGACATGAGAGGGAGGGGCAGGATGGTATACATTCTAGGAGGAGAGGCAGATCTGTAAGGAAAGGACTGATATGGGTGGTCTGCTTGTCATCTGGGCCCTGGTGATGTCAGGGCCTGGGCTGCTGCCAAAGGCCTTGTGTTGGTCCATGGCCCTGATAAAGCAGTGGTGGTCTGTGTTGATGTCCATGGTCCTGTTACCACCCGTGACCATGTCAGTGTCCGGGGGATATTCCCCCACAGGAGCCATGCCAATCTAAGAGGCCCATGCTTGTTAAGAGAAGCTTTTCCTTGCTAGCCGCTTTGGTTTATCCCCCGCCATCCGCCAGGGCTCTGCCACTTTCTAGTCCCCAAATAAACACACAGGACGCTGTATTAATTATGAAGCTGTTGGCCTTGCTTGTTTCTTACTGGCTAGCTCTGCTTTAAGTAATTACCCCATAATTGTTAATCTAAGTATGTCTCTTACCGGAGAATAGTTCCGGGCTTCCTACCCCAATGGCGTTACATCTCGAACTCTCCTGTGTTTCTCCTTCCCAGAATCCTCCTGGACTCCTAGCCCCACCTATCTAGATTCCTATAGGCTCAACAGTACTTTATTGACAAATAACAGGCAAATAACAGGACTTCCCCAACACATGCTGCCACCTGGGACCATGGTGACATCTAGCCTGGACTGTTGCTGAGGGCCATGTCTGAGTCCATGGTCTTGTTGCAGCTGGGCTCTGTGTTCACATCAGTGGCTCCTGTTGCTACCATACAGCAGTCCATAATCTGGGCCAGCACCTGAGGCCATGTTGGTTTTTGAGTAACTAGCTACCACCAGAATCATACAGATCTGGAAGCACTGTGCCACTAGAGCGGAAATGTGACCTAGGGCCATGTCTGGGTCCAAGGCCCTACTGTAGCCAGGGTTTGTGTTGATATCCATAGTTCCTATTACCATTGAAGACCAAGGGGCTGCCACCTGGGGACATGTTGGTGTTCAACGACAATGCTGCCACTGGAACCAC